ATTTATTTATTTATTTTGGAGTCACCGGAGCACACAAAACCCTGGCAACCACCTGAAAAAGTGAGGCATCATTCAAAATAGTGGGCACACTTGTCTAAGGGAAGGACAAGGTGTGCCGGAGAACCAGGCCTCTCACGCCACAATACCCATCTTCCTCACCGTTTGAACAGTTGGAGAGTGGAGTTTACAAGGTCCTCTCCTGAGATATACATGGCCCCTGGGACAGTGTGGTCTTGGTCTACACCAGCTCTGCCTCAGCATACATGGTTTTAATTCGACCAATACTTGGCCAAGAACAATCTCCATTTTTATTGTGCGCTATGGAGGGAGAGAAGGAAATGCAGAACCAAACTGACTTCCAACACTACTGTCCATTTCTTCCCCTCTCACCCCTCAAAGATGGTTCCTACTTGAGCCTCTGAACCTGATCCAGTCCTGGAGAGGTTAAGGACACAGTCAACACGGTGGCCAGTCCCACTCATGACTGGCACCGGCGTTCTTGTGCCCAAGTCCTTATTGTTCAGAGCCTGCATCTCCACCCAGAGGACTTGCCTAGTGTTCTGGTTCCTCTGAGACCACGCCATGTGCTGCTTTATTCACTCTTGAGCAGCTAGGGTCCTCTGTCAGACCTGAGGAAGCATAGGTCGCTTCTTCCCGGGTCCCTCCTGCTGGTGGCTATACCCACCCAACCCTTGCTGTCAGTTTCCACTGTCTCCACCATCTGATCAGGCCTTGTCCTCCTAGCACTGGACAACCCCCTCCCCAAGCAACTGCCTGTCCCTAGGAGGAACCTGTCTGGTTTCTGGATTCTGGCCCCTGTGTGTGTGGTCTGATGGGCCCCACTGCCCATCATACTCTCAGTGCTTGCTTTTGCCCCATGAGATTTTCGATACGCAGATGCCTGAATTTCATCTAGATTACTTAAAACAAACTTTCCAGAGGTATGTCCAAGATACTGGCATTTAAAAGAATTCTCCAGATAAGTCTCATTTGTACTCAGGGAGGAAAGACACTACTTTATATCAATTTCTCACAAATGTCAGTGTGCATACACACAACCTGGGGATGTTGTTGAAATGTACTTGCTGGTTCAGGTGGTATGGGTAGGGCCTGAGAATTTCAACTTCTGAGCAAGTTCCCAAGTGATGTCTTTGATGTTGGTCCATGGACCACTCTTTACTGTAATAATCACCTGGGGACTTGTTAGAGATGCAAAATTCCAGGACCCTCCCCAAACTTACTAAATCAGAAACTGGGGGTGGGGCCCAGCAACCTATATTTTGACAGTTTGAGTCCCACTGGCCTACATGGCACTTCCCGATAGACCTTCATGCAAGCCACATATATTATGTAAAATTTCTAGTTGTCAGTTTTAAAAAGGAAAAAAAACAGGTAAAATGAATTATAACAAAACTTTTTTAACCCTATGTGTCTGAAATATTATCATCATTTCAACATATATATATACCAATATACAAATTAATTTGGTAGTATACATACTTTTTCCATAGTCAGTCTTCGCAGTCCAGTGTGTTTTTTACTCTTAAATGCTATCTCGGTTCTTACTGGCCACATGCTAAATGATCAATTGCCACATGAATCCACCATATTGGACAGTCAACTCCTACACTTATAATGATAACAGCATGAACTTTTATTGAGTGCCTGCTATGTATCTGCCACTACTTAGCCAAGCATCTTATGTGCATTATTTACATAAACACTACCACAACTCTGGGGATTGGTGCTGTTATCATCCCCACGGTACACAGAGGAGGGGTGGTGCCCAAAGCCCTATGTGGTGTTTCACCAATATAAGAAGCCCACTTTAATAGAAGCATTTCCCAATTATTTTAAATCTACTTATTTGTTAAAAAAGAAAGAAAGTTAAAGAATACAAATCGAATCATTAAGATGACTACAATTAGTACAACTGTTAAGACATCAATAGCTTATAAAAGGCATAGTAGGTGCATAAGTAGAAAAGTCCAAATTTATTATCTTCTAACCTTTTAAAATATGCCTGAGGTCCAACATGCACTTTTCTGTGACATCAAATCTGGTGAGAGGTGCTATGGACAGGCTGGTTGGTCAATGAGACCTTGGGGAACAAAGGAGACCTTTGGTGAGCCCTGTGGCAGGATGTGTCCTAAATGGAAGCAGCTAGCAGGGTCATAATCTGTTCATTAGGTGCAGATTCTAATACAAAATGATTCCAACAATAAAACCATGCACCGCATAATGGCATGTAGATCAACGATAGACCTCATATACAATGGTTGTCCCATAAGATGACAATGTAGCTGAAAATTTCCTATCGCCTAGTGATGTCACAGCCCTCGTCGTGTCATAGCCACACGCTAATGTGTTTGTGGTGATGCCGGTGAGAACAAACCTCCCACCCTGCCAGTTATATAAAAGCTTAGCTCATACAGTCATGTACAGTACATGATACTTGATGATAATAATAAACGACTATGTTACTGGTTTATGTGTTTACTATACTATACTTTTATCGTTCTTTTAGAGTGTACTTTTTCTACTTATACAAAACGGGCAGCATCCCACCTAGCAACTACAAAGGGGGCTAGAGGGGGTTGTGCACAGTGGAAGGTTTTAATAAGAAGAGGGTGGGGCAAGGGAGCTATTGAAAAAAGAAATGATTGTTTTGGGGCCAGGACACCTTTCTTTGGGGGGCCAGGGGGGAAGGGTTTTTTATCATGCAGGTTGCCTCTTCTTTCCCTGAGGGATGGAGAGGGACCACAGTGACAGGTAACCTTACTGGGGCTTGACCAGAAAATTACAGACTGGTTGATTAAGATTCCTTTTCTGGAAGAGGTTGAAATTGCAATTAGATCAGGTATTAATCTAGGTTTGTTATCATGGGCTTTTATCGGCAGTGATGCCATTTCGGGGCCTGTGGATTTTCTTTAACACTGTCAAACAGTGTGGCATGTTACACACGCAGCAGCCTCGTACATCTCCTGTGTTTACCGCATCTCTTGATAGCATCATTTCTTTCTGGTGATTGATATCATCTCAATTTGTTTTGCACAATAACCTGCTGTACAGGTTTGTAGCCTAGGAGCAAATAGCCTAGGTGATTACGACGCTGTTCCATCTAGGTTTGTGTTAAGTGCTCTCTGTGATGTGGGTAGAAGAACGAAAGCACCTAAAGAAGCACACATTTCTCAGAACACATCTCCATATGATTGTAGTTAATGCGAGGCAATGTATTGCTGTGGGAAACAGGCAATTTGGAATTTAAAAATAACAGCTGATTTGCTAATCAAATAGTTCATCTTTATTAGTTCCCATAACTTCCATTTTTCTCAAGGAAGAAAATGCATTTGTAAATGCATTTTCTTTTTATTATAAACTACTATTAGGAGGAAAAAGTAAAAACAATTTAAAATTTTCTGTCTGAGGTTAGGCTTCCATTTTTTTGTCAGAATTACCACTTATCATTTTGACCAAGTAATGTAAATATCCTATTTCAAACCAACAGATAACTAAGACTATTAACCTATGACCATTTAAAATAAATGAATGGGAAAAATGCATTATTCTACAGATATTTTCTAAAACCCTGCTATATATATTTTTAAATAAAGTTAACCTTATTTTAAAATTTGATTAGATATTTCAAACTTAGGATGCCATTTTTTATATTTAAATATCTGCATACCTTTAATATAAGTGTCTTACGTTGAAGGATTTCCTATTTTACCATGGTACTTGAAATAGAAGTCATATCTTTTTTCTTAACATAGCATGCATCATCCTCAGTATTTTCTATAATCACTTTCAGTGTCTCTCTTTAACTGCAAGGAAAGAATTGGATTTGATCTGAGTGTCTAGTAACCAACCTTCATCCTATTAATTATAAACTATCTCCTGGTGGTATTTATACTGGACTAAGGTCATAGTATCTTTCACCTCTCAGCAGAACTCATTGACTGCTAAGCATTGTCTTCCTTATGGGGACTGGGGAGTTGAAAGGACACAGGGGTTCATCCACCCAGAATAAAGGTTTTTATAAAAATACCTCAGTGTTTCCTTTGTAGGAAGCAACCAACTTTCCTTCTTCTTAGGGGTGTAAAAGGCAGAATGAAGCAATGGAAACCAGGGGTTGGTCTGACGATGCATAGCAATTCCCTTCAGTCATACTATAAAGAGATCTCATCTCCAATGGCTATGGCTTGAATAGCCTCATAGTGTGAAAAAAAAAAAAGGAGAAAAAAACTGTGAACCAATTCTATCTTTATTCTTGCTGCATTTGTGTGCTGTAAACCATTGGAAGCAAGGACGCTCTATATTTTGCCCACTCTATTCTTGAAGTGCCTGGCATATACTAGGTTAAAGAGTACTTCTCACAAATACTTGCAGAATGAATGCATGTATGCATGCACGCATGAATACAACTTCTAGATCTTAATTTATAATTCTAGAAACAAAATAAAGGCCCTAGTTTGCTGGCCATTGTTGGTGACTCAATCTGGATTATGTCTTCGTTGGTCTTCGTGGGGAGAGCAGGGGGAATTGGTGTCTGTCTGCATCATGTCACTGAATGGTCCCCAGTCGCTGCCAACAGATAAGAAACGTCAACAGCTTAACCAAGTAGCTTTCAAAAATAGCATCCTTGATGAAACTGGAAATGTGGGTGCGTGCTAGAAAGAAACCATTTGCCTTCCATCTGAAGAAAGTTCGGCTGACCACAGGTATACCTACCACAGAGATGGAACATTTGTTTTTAAGACCCATATGTAAATGAGCAAGAAAATATCAGATTGAAAGCCTTCCCTCTCCATAAGACACGAATAGAAATCTTATTTTCAATGAATCTGGCAAATCATTTTGGGGAAAAAAACAAAAACAAAAAACTTGGGGATTATGGCTAGGCACTCTGTTTCTTTAAGATTCCAGTCAAGGTTTTTATTTGTTTGTTTTCAAGAGCTCCGGGCAGTTTTCCCCAACATTTAAATGAATATTTGCACCGTAAACCACGTTGTTGTGGGTTTCCTGGTTGGTGTCCTCCCCCACCCCCTCCCGGGTAGGGGATGGGGGGTGTGGCGATCCCGACTAGATTTTTTCTTCCCTTAGCGAGTCCACCGCGGCTGCTGCTAATGCTGAAAATAGCTCAAAGGCGCTCAGAACGGTAGCACCACCCAGCAGCTGCGATCCTTTCGCTCCCTTATTTGCCTTCTCTCTGGCCTTTTCCCCCCCTTCAGACACTTGGATTGGGACTTAATCTGAAATCTCTGGAGTGCAAGACCTTCTGAAAAGGGCTAAATAAACAATCTCTACATGTAAAGGCCACTGACTCCTACTTCCTCTGCGCAGAGCGACTGGGAGCCCGGCTGCCCCGAGGTAAGAGTTTTTATTCTACAAGGATTTCATTGGTTCCTGAGACCTTTCTGGTGAATGCTTTCAAATAAATGATTTAGAGTGGGAATAAGCGGGGGGCTGCGAACGGTCTCCAGGTTTTTGGGTGCCCCCCGTTACAGCAGAAGCCTCTGTGCATGGGGGTTGGGGGGGGAGATGAGGGGGAAGCGATTTTAAACTTTGCTTCACGCTCTCTGTCCCCCGCCTGTGCCTGCGCTGCCCAGACCTCCCCGCCCTGACCCCACGCAGCAGCCCCCCTGGCAGGCACCACAGTGTTGGGTTGTGTTTTTTTAAAGGAAAAAGATGCAACCGCCCGAATAAAGAAAATCTATGAGTAATTGTTCCTGAGGGACGGGGAGCAAGCTCTCTTTTCTGTGGTTCTCTGGGAGATCGCCCTGCGCGCACTCCTAGCTGGCCGTGGAGCGGTGTGCCGGGCGGTTTGCTGTTTGTGTCTTCCTGGCGCGGTTGGCTGACCCGCTGGGGCCGGAGGACTCCCTCCCCGGCTGGAAGCCTTGCCGGCAGGTTTCTCGCACGTGACGATCTAATTTTCTGGAAGCTCCCCGCGCCTCCCCGCCACCCCTCCGCGCGCGCGCTCATCGTCCTGCCAAGTACTTTGATCTGTGGACTTTAACTTCAAACACGGCGTTTGCTTTGATTGTGGGTATTGACTGCGGTCGGTGAAAAGTCTTTTTGTTCCGTGCGTCGAAATCACTTCCTGGGGGTGAACTCTTGGGCTTTGGTTCTCCCTCTGCTACCTCTTGGGTTTTACTTGTGCGGAGACCCCTACCTGCAAGGAAAAGACTGTGTCTCCCCGCCAGGCTCTCCCACCACCGAGGCTGGGAGGAATTGTTGCCTTCTGTGCGGCTGGCCACAAGTTAGCAGGAGACATGTACATGGAGAGCCTTCTAGCACCCCCCACCCCACCCCCCACCCCTCGATTTCCCGCTGCCTCACAATCACCACGTGTCTCCAGGCCTAACTGTTGCCTTTTAGCATGAACACAGATATCCTTGGTATTTACTGATTCTCGTTTCCAAAACAGTCTATTGATATCGCAGATCACATGTCAAAAGAAAGCATGTATGTTAAACATAGGGTGATCTTCTGGGTAACTTTAAAAAAAAGAACAATTAAAAAGAAAGGAAGAAGGGGGAATTTTTAAAAAGGAAAACTAGGGGGAAAAAAACCCCTGGGTAGCCAAAAGCCTGTTATGCCAGTGAAGCTTCTGCTGAATGAGGGATAAGGAATGAAAAAAATGTATTTCCTAAAATAGGCCATGTAGCACTTTCTAGCCATTCAATCAACTTTTAAGTGTTTTCTTTAAAGAAAGTTCCTGTGTGTATTACACTTGTTCGTTACCCTTTTCTTCCCTCCCCTCGCCCCCTCCCTCAAAGCAGAGAGAGGGAATTTTCAAAGTCCTCAGCCTGATACTCAAGACTGACTTTGCTGGCAAACTGTCCCCACCTGTTCTGATGAAGGTTAGGGCTAGAAGGAGCCCAATGCCGTCCGGGGCTGTTGAAGTCCCCAGCCAGGACTGGGGCTCCTGGGAGCTGGCACATTGGGTTCCCCGCACTCTGCACCTTGCTGGGAGGGAAGGGAGCCAGTGGCCACAGGACACGGTTTCAGAGCGGAGGAGCTGGGGAGAAGGCTATGGGAGAGGTTCCTGGGGATCAGGTGCAATAGAGTCTCTAGAATGTGGACTAACAGCAAGAAAACTCGGAGATGTTCAGTCCAGTTTTTATTTCCAACATCTGGACATTTAATTGCTAACCCCTCACCCCCCACTTCAAATCTGCCTTCTAAGGAGCATACCAATGATCACATTTCTGTGATGCGTCAAAACTTTAAATCTTCCAGTTATTTTAAGTGTGTACTTCTCTGCCTTTGAGGGGCTAGTATGCCCCCCCACACACCCCCTCAGTATTAGGGAGCTCTGATGTGGCATCGCTGAGTGCAAATGTCCTGTCACAGGCAACACAGGTTCAGGTGCAGAGTCCAATGGCACCAGGACGACATGGGTCAGGAAGGTGTCAGACGGCCATTCCATTCTCGGTGGGCAAGCCATTGTTCCCTGTGCTGCTGCTGTTGTTTTGTTCCTTTGTGTCTCTTCACCCCTTCATTTTCTTCTGAAACTGGATTGTTTGAACGTGAAACTCCAGGTGAAAGCTCGCCAAAGCCACCGAGTTTCACGCAGCTTCCACATGAAAGGATTCTACCCGGCCTTGCTCGAAACTTGGCCCATGTTTTGCCCAAAGTTTCGTGAATGTCAGCGAGGCTGGATTTGAAACCTAATCCCAAGCCAGGTGACTTCTAGGGACGTGGAGGCTTCCCTGTCTGAGTGTAGAACCTGTCAAGCAAGGCCGTCCCTTATTTTCATGCCTCCCGCGGCACTGCATGGGTACACACGTTTTTTCTTCCCCCAAGAAACTCCCATTTGTTTTATGACATTTGAAAGCCAGGTTCAATCCTAATATGAGTTTTTATAGCTGTGGTATTTAAGCATTGGCAACTCCGAGTCTGCATTTTAAATTCCTGCACAGCCTGAACCACAGTGGTGTGAACATGTTGGTATAATTCAGCTGAAGGAAGTCCCCGGAGAGTCCTGGAATGTCTTTCTTTGCTTAAATATACCTCTGTGCCCATGCGGAACAAACAGTAACATTTTGTCCTGGCCCGTCTGCTTGACAGTATGCTTTTTGTTCGCGCTCCAAAGGTGGTGTCAAATATATTGGTGGAAAAAAATAATAAACTTCCAGCTAATTTTTTTTTCGCCTGCTCAAGTGATATACTCTTAGGGAACATAGTAAGCCTTGAAAACTTCAGTACTATTATTTGTAATGTAGACTGAGACTAAAGGGGTACTCAACGGAGTCAATTTCCATCAGAAAAGGGTGGTGACTTGGAGCTGATGTGTGTATTGAACAGTCAGACAGGGCGAGGTTGTCAAGGTGTGTATGTGCTGGTGGAGGTAGAGGCCCGTGGAGAGGAAAGGCGATTTGTAAACTGTATTCAGCAAATCTGTCACATCTAAAACAAAAATGATCAAGCCCAGGATCCAAAAGCATTCCTTTCTTCTGTTGATCATCTAAATTTGTGTTGGCTGAATGTTGCATTTTGGGGGGTATTATTATTATTATTGAGGACAGCAAAGATTACATTCTGATCATTAGGATTCCAGAAATGGCAAATAACCTCCCATGAAAATATGACCAATTGGGAGACCCATGCAGTTGTAAATGAAGCTGCAAGAGCCAGTCTCAGAAAGATCACGGGGTCTGTGCCCATTAGAGATGCGAGGCCCAGGAAACCATGAGTTGATGTGTCATGTTATTAGTTGGAGGGTTTCTGAATTCATTTGAAGAATTTTCATAAAAATTAATTTGTGACCTCGCTAAAGATTTAGTTGGACTGAATTTAGTGAGATTTAGAGATAGTTATTCATTACAAAATTAAATTATGAAATTTCATTTTGAAGATTTTGTAGTCAGATTTTTGTTTCATAAACTAGACTATTAAAGATGCAGTTTGCATTTTAGCAGGTGATTTGCAAAATGACTGTCATTGATCCCATACTACGTAAAGCTTTTGAAAAGCTCACAGTAACAAAACTCGCGGGTCTTCCGTGTAGGAGCTGCACTTTAACACTGACTTCACTATTCATTGCGTAGCATTTACCAACATATCTGATTTTTTTTTAAATATATTCTATTGACCTTTCACAGAGAGGAGGGGAAAGGGATAGAGAGTTAGAAACATTGATGGGAGAGAAATACTGATCAGCCGCCTCCAGCACACCCCCTACTGGGGATGTGCCCGCAACCAAGGCACATGCCCCTGACTGGAATCGAACCCAGGACCCCTGAGTCCGCAGGTCCACGCTCCATCCACTGAGCCAAACCGGCCAGGGCCAACATATCTGATTTTTATATCCCCAAACTAGTGCAATGAGTAGAGGAGAGGAAGATGCTCAAATAGAGGTGCTAGAGAGAAACAGGAGAAAACAATCAGGACCATCTTGCAAGGGGGTTCACTAAACACATAAAGGTAGAAGGAGCTCAACATTTTGAAAACAACCATCACCCTGGTTGGTTGGAAAGGAGAAAGGGTAAAATACCAGGTGGCAAATAAACACCAAACTTGTGCATATGCAAACTTGCTTTAAATCAAAATGTGACCTTCGTTCAAGAATGACCACACTGGTCATTTGAGAATGCAAAAATCAGCCTCTGACACATCTTCTCTTGTGCTTAATTTACTCCCAGAAAATGGAGTCCATATAACACTTACCCATTCCACAAGGATATATATCTATTTTTTTTAAATATATTTTTATTGATTTCAGAGAGGAAGGGAGAGGGAGATAGAAACATCAATGATGGGAGAGAATCATGGATCAGTTGCCTCCTGCACAGCCCTCACTGGGGATCGAGCCCGCAACCCTGGGCATGTGCCCTTCACTGGGATCGAACCCAGGACTCTTCAGTCCGCAGGCTGACGCACTATCCACTAAGCCAAACCACAAGGATATATTATTAAAACTTAAATGTATAGAAGCATGGCATTTGTGTTCCTAAAAGAAAAAAAAAAATTAGTTTCGGTCTGATCAGACCATGATGTCACAAAACAAAGTCCTTCCCTGATGAACCAAAGAGGATTATTTGCCTGAAACAGATAAACAGTCATTTCCAGGAAAGTCATCATTCTCCACCTAACCTTTTATTTGTTATTTGGATGTTATCATTTTCTCTGAAATAATGCTTTCATCATTACAGTGCCAAAACACCTCAAGGGTCCCAAAGCATTCTCTCAGCTACCCAAGGTGGACTGTCAAAAAGATGTGGGCATTTCTTGTAGGTTTATATGTAGACAGTGTTGTCAGGACACAGGTCCCCTTAAAGCCCCTCTCATCCTGAGCTTCATCATGGAGTAGGAGACCCTGGTGACCCTCTGAACCACTCTGATCCCCAGGGGACATTGCAGCCCAC